TTGTTCTTGAACATGTGGTTGTTTCTGTCTCTTTATAGAATATCTCTCAGTACTCAGTGTAGCGTTAGCTTGGTGGTCGTGGATTTCTTCAATAGTTCTTTGTCATGGAAGGATCTTAACTTACTATTGAATTTGATAGATAGTTTCACAGGGTATAACAATCTTTGTTGGAAGTTATTTTCTTTCAGGAACTAAAATACTTCCCTCTAGGCTCTTCTTGATTTGATGATTTGTTTTGAGAAATCGGCCACGGTTCTAATGGGCTTTCCACTGTAGATAATATGTTTCTTCTCTCTATCAGCTTTTAACATTCTATTCATTTGCTGAATTTCTGGGATTTTGAGTATTATGGTTCCAGGTGTTGATTTATTTTGATTATGGTTAATCAAAGTTCCATATACCTTGATAAACTCGTGTCAGATTCTTTTCTCATGCTTGGAAAATTTTCTACCACTTTTTCTCCAAATAGTCCTTTTATGTCATTTATGCTAACTCTTCCATAGATTTGTTGACACCTAGTAGTCTTCTCTTGTTTTTTGGCATCATCTTGTAGCTGTGGAAATATTACTTCTTGGTTCCTTTTTAGTTTTAAGCGCTCTAACATTTTGCGTTCATTAGCTTCAATGCTGTCTTCAAGGTCTGAAAGTCTGTCTTCAGTTGTGTTCAAGCAGCTTTGCCAGCTTCAGTGGAATTATTAATTTCCTGGATATCAATTTGAATCTGTTTCATGCATTCTTATTCTTTCCTGGATTGTTTTCCCAATGTTTCCATAATTTTTCTCTTGTCCTGTATTTGCTTTTATCTGTGCCTTCATTAGATGTGCTGAACAATTCTTTCATGATTGTTGTCATTTCTTTTCTTACCTGACAGGCTATTTCTGATCTGATTTTGTTTATATCCTAATGTGTTTGTTTCTTTACTACAGTCACTATCATTTCAGAAATCTGAGGTATATGACCTCCAAGGATTTTTTGTTTCCTGGACTTGTGTGTTGGCTGGAGGACTGAGATTGCCTTTGGTTCTTTGTTTGGCATTTTTGAAGCTACCAGTATCATCCAGACTCAGCAGTGGTGGGAGAGGTGTGGACCTTGTTTCAGAAAGTTTCCTTCAACAGTGGGGAGGCAGTTTTGGACTCACTAAGTTTCTCACAACTGGTGTGGTTGCAACTGAAGCTTAGCAAAGCTTCTGCACAGGTGGTGGGTGTGGCCTGACTCACCAAGTCCCTGCAGCTACCTTGTATCTGCCTACATTCTCAGATTTTGCATAGTGAGCCACTGGATCCACTGTGCCTCCTCACCTGTGATCACCCCAAATATTTTTAAAGGATTATTTATCAGGAAGATGCTGATGATTTCTGCTTTTTTCACCTCTTCTGGTAGACACTGAGGCAGAGGAGGGAACAGGGTTAATGGGTGCAATCCAGCAGCAGGAGGCAGGAATCAAAGAACTTCACTGAGCCTGGAGCCTAGTCTGAACCAGGAAGGTGAGAAAAACCCAAATGCCTGCATCACATGCATGTGTCAGCTGCAATGGGCTATGTGCTCTCACGGGAGGCAACCAATGGCAAGTGCATCTTTGTCTCCAAGCAGGTAGACAGCCATAGCTCACTTTTTCTAAACTTTAATCTCCAGGACAGCATTAGCACTCACTCTTCATTGGAGCACACAGAGCTACTGTTCATATGTCACAAATGGCTATAACATATGCAGCTGGCAGGGAACTGTTTGGACATAGTTTATAGCAACCCAGGACCAAGGTGGTGTGAACAGCACCAGCAAAAAGATAAATTAAGGGCATCAGCAAATAAAGGTTACATAAATGAGACTATTAACTCCAATTATAGAAAATCTTACAGAAAAAAATGTTGTTAAAAGAAAATAAGGTCTATTATGTGACAGATACAAGTATAGGTATGTGTGGAGATAACTGGGCTGGAAGCTACATCAAAGAAATGGGCACAAAGTTGCCAATATTCTTTAGACAAAATAAAATACAAAAAAAAAACAGATAAAAGGTTTTTATTCCTTCCAAATTCTTCTTATGATAGATCTCTGCTAATTAACATACAAATAACTCTTATTAGTCTTTTTATAATTACAAACTTCTACAATTGTAGGAGTCATTATAACTCAATTTGGAAAATATGTATTTGAGTGCACTCTGATTTTACAAGCAAATTGTGTATTTGTCTGTCTCTTCTGTTTTATTTGAACTCAACAAATTTTTCTTCCTTTTGCCTTTTTGGGTGTTTTGAAGCATTTGCCTGATATACTTCCACCAAAGTTGACCACTGGTCAAATTTATGCTAAAATTGGTCTTATAAATATAATAAATATTATTATTTATGTCACTCATTGTTCAAAAATAATGTGTTAAGTATTATGACCTCATTCTGAGAAGTCATAAAATTTTGTCAAAACAAAATTCCCTTAGAGTAGGGTGAAACTATTGGATAGGACTCCAATTGATGAGTAATAAAGAAGCTACCTGAAAATAATTATCCATTTCTTGTTCATTAATTTAAGGTCCCATTGATCTCTACAGTCTTATACGACACACTTTAAAACTGTTGCTGAAAATATATTATTGTGATACACTTACATTCACCATCATCAAAAGGTTAAGTTTTCTAGAAATAATACAATAAGGTTTTCTGATTTAAAAACGCTCTTGGCATAATACTAAACTAAGAAACAAATTTTTTCATGTGGTTATGACAGTTGATTGCTACAAACCTCATGGCATTTTAAATATATTCATACTTTACAGATATAAAGTCTTCTAAAATGTAAAACTGAGATTGTTCATGGTGTTAAACATTTTCTTCCAGATTCAGATATCTGCCTTTCTTTTTTGCTTCAGATATGTTTGATAAGAGATTCATACCAAGACAACGTGAATTTACTGGTCAATAATAATGCTTTAAAAACTTATATGTTATATATGTTCTGTGTATGCCACTACACTAAAAGCTATTTAGACATTAAGCAGTCCAATGTCACACACTTCAATGGTGTTCCACTAAAAAAATTAGGTGTAAGCTTCTTATGTACTAGATAGAAATGATTGACTAAAAAGCATATTCTATATCAAGATGGAGATATAAATTTGCTACAAAAATGTCATCATGATTTTTATGCTACAATACTATGTACAACTTTTGATTTCAAATTTTCTGTGTAGATCTATGTAACTGTAGTCTGTTAACACTACAGGGATTGAACTAGAACACCCATGATTGGTAAGAAATAACAATTCTCTGGCTATATTTTATATTTCAAGGTGCTGGATATTCAGATAGAACTTTTAATAGTTATGTTTAATATTCCTATTGCAATCCTAATTTCATTTGTCTTTTCTTCTGGATGTTCAACAGCTAAAGTTTAGATGCCAAAACTAGAAAGATAGTTAGACTATGAGGACAGGCAATATTTTGGCCAGAGACATTTGAAGTCAACAATGACTCAGGAGATAAGTGAACCTTTCCTGAGACATATTACAACTCTGGTGAAGTGTACAACCGCCTGATGAAGGAGATTGTTGAACCATAAAAGGAGATCAATAGTGTATATTGTGAGAGTTGCATTGGAATGTCTCCAGTAAAAAATAGCTTCCAACATGTTCACAGAAAGTAATTTGGTCAAACAATGTCCACGACTCATCCAGACAGGTAACACTGACAGAAGAACTGAGGTGCTGTACAGGGTTCCAAAGTTAATCCTGACGAGACATAACTGACCTTGTCAGATAGCAGGAGATTAATTTTAATTAATACAGGTACCACTTTAAATTGGTCTTGAACATCCAACTGAAAATTATAACAAGATAAATAAAACATTTCCATAGTAATAAGATAACTATAAAAAGAAAGTCAACACACATACCTTCTAACAATTTCCACATACAGTGGTAACTGACCTGTTTGGGGTTAATGGGATGTATAAGGTTAAGATTCAGAACACAGGGACCTGAAATCCTTGGACTGGGAATTCTTAACCTCAACAAATAACTCTATTCAGAGTGAAAAGGATTTGAGACAGAAAAGGCCTTCACAGGAAAATCTTCCCTAGGATACCTGGAGAAGAGAGGGAAAGAAATTAAGATCTTCTACAGGGCCCTTGAAATACAGATCTTTCAACTTTAATTGACTACCCATCACTTGCAACTAAGAAATAAAAAAGGGGAATGTGAGTAGCAACTGAGCCATGGCTGATCTGGAGTCAGTGAACTCTTTGGGACTTATACAAAGGCAGGTATCTGGACTTAGAGTTCTTCCTTGTTAACTACAGCCCAGAGAGCTCTCAAGATTATTTCACTTTTAGTGTTCTCAGTAAAACAATGAGAACTTGCCCTTTTGCCTCTGTTGCACACTTCCTTCTTTTACTGTGTATAAATAAAGATGTAGACTGTGCTGGGTTGTTGCTGCTTCTCCTTCAGAGAAGTCAGTTCCCACCTAGTTCCAGCTTTTCTTTTAGTACTTCTCTAGCTTTTTCTTCATCTTCAGCCCCTTCTCAGTTCTACATAGCCTTCACAGACCACCACAACTGGGTTCCTCCCACATCATCATTTTGAACTCTTGTTCAAGCATTTCATAGATTTTTCTTTAGGGTCTATTACTGGAATGTAGCTATGTGTTTTTGGAAGTGGTATGTTTCCCTTATTGTTGTTTCATGTGTTCTGATCTATACATCTGGTCCATTATTTCTTTGCATGGTGAAACTTTCCCATACCTGGGTTATGGTTGTCATTTGGGTAGGTGTCTGTGCTTCTGTTTGGGATGACTGTAGCAGTCCACCTCCATGGAGTTTTTTCAGCTGTCTCCAGTGATGCTGTTTGTAAGTGCCTTGGTGAGTTGTATCACAGATGCTTGTGGCAGCAGTCATATGGCTTTGCTGTGGTCAGGGGATGCTGTAGTGGGGCCTTCCTAATAGGCTAGTCTGAGGACTCTAAGGGTCTGTGCAAGTCATTCATCCTGGTTTGGGAGCAACTTTCTTATTATGATGGACCATGAGAGACTGGGAGTAGAAGCTGTTATGAGGCATGGGTACAAGGGTCACAGCCATTCTGAGTCTGTTCAAGATTGTGGATTTGCAGTCTTTAGTGAGGTAGAATACCAGTGCAGCTTCAGAGATAGGAAGATGTAGGAACTGCTGATCTCCAGGAAAAGATGACTACTAGCAGTGGCTCCATTCTCAAGATGGTGTCATATGGTGTTGCAGCTTGGGTTCTAGTCTTATCCACTCTGTGGATTTATGCTATCAGAAGAATCACATAGAAGTACAGTGGGTGACACAGGACCAATACTTTTTATTCTTATGATTTAGCACAAGGTTAGCAGCATGTTGGGGACACAAATTCCAAGTTAACCCAAAACAAAATACAGGGACATACAATTTTTATGTTCAGACTCCTGAAGATGTCCTTCAGTTCCCTCCTTGCACTGCACCTGTGTTTATAATGCTTGCTTTCTGGGATTCCCACAGACAACTCAACCCACTAAAACTGCTTCTCCTAAATTCTTCTCATTTTATGTTCAATATTGCCTCAGTTACCTTTTCCTCATTGCTGGGACAAAATTCCCAACACCCAAATTAAGGAAGGAAAAGTTTATTTAGCTTACAGTTAGTAGGGATTTCAGTCAATACTCAGCTGGCCCCAAGGCAGAGCAGCACATGGCAGAGGGCAGCAACTCATGTTGACTAGATATTCTAGGTATATTCCATATTCCATGGTTGTAGGGCTTATTATGAAAGACCTTGCCTCTCAGCTTGAAAAATTTTCAAGCTGCACCAAATTGCTAACATCGCCATCATTTTGGATGTAGGATACAAGAAGTTATTGTAGGTTATGGTTGCTTGCTTTTGTGAGATTGCTTAGAAAACATGCCCATCTTTTTATATACATCTTTCTGGCATCATTGTGGTAATGCAGGATTATGTCAGCTATATCTAGTTAACTTAAGTTGTACGAATGAATTAGCACATGCTTAGACCTAAGAAAAATATAGGCAGGAGCTGTCAGAGAAAAAATACAAGAAATTCTTTCTGCTAAAGCAAGTGCAATGCTTTTCTTATTAACTAAATTTTAAGTGAGAAATCATCCATTTGTTTATAGTTGGTTCTGTATGGTGATTTTTTTCAATGGCCAATTTTGCCAACAGACTCACTTATTTTCTCATCCAGGCAATTCACACACTTTGTATCTGCCAGAGATAGATCTTAGGCCTTTACATACAGGAGAGTAACATCTCACCCTTCAGGTCTCCACATAAAAGTCACATCCCTGCTGTGGCTTACAGCCTCAGTTGTTTGGAAAGTCATGGGGTCACAGGCACACTGAGTCTATCAGCGGGTCCATGGGCTCGTAGCTGAGTGTGCTGAGTGAGAAGGCTGGTTGCTGGCAGATCCCAGGGATGTGACCCTGAAGGACCTACCCTGAAGGACCTAGCTGCCCCCTGCTCTCAGCCTTCTGGTCACCGTGATGTGACCAGACTTTCTGCACTCTGGCCCTCCCACTTTGCCCTCTGTGTGCAGGGCCCGAAACCTGACTGCAGCCATGAGCCAAAATAAGCCTCTTCTCTCTTAGGATGTGAGCGTCCCATGCGGTGTCTCAGCAGCAGGAGGGGAATCACACTCAGACCGTCACACAGAGAACCTCTGGGCTCTTTTCACATGGGCTCTCTCCTCCCACCCATCTATATCTTATCTTCATGTAAAGATATATTACTCTTTTATTTGTTCATATATTTAGAGAGCAGTCAGATTTAATTCAATGAATTATACTAGATACTTGATGCAATCTTTGAGTCTTTGAATCACTTGATTCAAAGTAGTATAATACACTATTATTTTTCTCCTAAAAGCTTACCATTTCTGATAAAGACATACTCATCTTTAAAAACCACTGGAACATGAAGGTTCAGACCAAAAAATAATGGCCCACAAAGGACAGAGAAAGTGAAGTGAATGTCAGCCCACTGCTGAGCACCCATGTGTACCAGCTGTACATGGTTCCAAGGTTAATCCTGAGGAGACAACTGACCTCGTTAGATAGCAAGAGGCTGATTCTAATTTTAATTTCTCACTCTTTCTTTCTAATGCTACTCTCACAGGGCCTTCATATCTACAGCCATTCTAGTTTTCTTTCTGTGTAGAGTACCAAATATGTTAGTCTTTGTCTTTATTTGAAAAGATTTTTATATGATAGTCACTTCTAAAGATGGTGACTATTTTATATGTGATCACTATATCCATGTCATAATACTATTGATTTGCTTAGTGTCCACATTAAAATATTAAAGAATAAATCCAGAATATAAGCCTTTTTGGGTTTATAAGTTCAGAAGGTACTTTTTAAACAAATGTATGGGTTTTATTTTAAATATTCTGGGTTATTTAAGTCCAAAGATCAAATACTTTTGAGAGTTTCTAATTCTTTTTATTAATTTTTATTAGTATATGTCTGCAGTGTTTAATGCTTATGCCCATAGTGAAAACTTTGTACATGTACATAACATCTTAATTCCTTTGCACCACCTTCCCTTCTCATCCTCCATGCACAGTTCTTTTATGAAAGAGAAGGGGCCCAAGATTTTATTTTCATTTTTAAAAAAGTTCTGTGGAATGATTTATATGTCAAAATAGCAAACTAGAAGGGCCAGTCAGATAGCTCAGTGGACCTAAGTGCCTGCTTAGGCAGACACAAGGGATAGGGTTCGATCCCCGGTGTGCTGTGCTGGCCCTGCCCCCCAGGGCATTTGAAACTGGGTGTGATGGTGCACGCCTGTAATCCCAGCACTTAGGAGGCTGAAACAGGAGAATCACTCTGAGTCTGATCTACATAGTGAGACCCTGTAGACCCTGTACTAAATACATTTAAAAAACAAGCAAAATAGAGAATTTTACCAAAAAAGTTAATATATCCTTAATGTTGTTGTTTTTGTTTTTTTTTTCTACAGATCACTTTGTTATTTATTTGGAAACAAGTTCAGAAACAATGATTTGGAAAAAGTAGAAAAATAATTATGCATGAGTTACATTTATAGCAATTGTACTGAAGAAAACATTACTCTAAATATAGAAGCATACTTTGCTATAAATTTTCAGGTTATCAAAAGAATTATATTTAAAGACAAGACTGCAAAGAGAATAAAATACTTCAAAGGAAAGTGCTTTGCTTCTGTGGTTGAAATGAACATGACCACCTCCTAACTTTTCTTGTATTATTTGTTGGGGGGTTTTAAAGAACCACGAAAGTTCTTGTCCCTCAGATTCACATAAATATATTGAATTTAACCATCATAGCAAATCCAGAATTAAACTCAGTTGTCCTGAGTTTCCATTATAAAAGATATTACCATTTTAAAAGATAAACATTTTCCATTTAACCTTTAAAAGGTTGTTTAAGTGGGAGGGCATGTCTGAGTTAAATTTTCCTTCTCTATTAATACATTTCCCAGTTTTATTTTAACATAAATAAAAGGAGTAAAATAAAACAAAGCCACAAATACCTCTCAAAAGAACTACAAACAAATATACTCAATTCCCTATTTAAAACAGGTGTAACCCAAAGTACCGAAAAAGACTGCTAAATGGCTCCACAGCACCAGTCCACACTTACATGTAATTACACAAATCATCACCATGTGCAAGGCACGAAAGTGTATAGGAGCGTTTCAAGGCATGAACAATTTTAAATATCATAAAAAACACAATGCTTATTGAAACAAGTCAGTGTTCCATTTAAAATCTATGTCTCCTGTATTTTAGCCAAGTTCTATGTGTTGATTGAACTTAAAATCCCACAAGTACATTTTGCTTTGTCCACTATGCCCATCAGAAGCATTTCACAACAGCCCAACCTAAGTATATCTTTACATTATTCTAAATATTTTGCTGTTTTAGTTTAGTTTTTTTTTTTTTTTTTTTTTTAACAAATTAGCTTTTCCAGTTCCAAGTGGCAAATGCCACTTCATTTACAGTGGAACAGCTTCTGCATACTGTTCTTGCTGTTTACATTTCAAAATACAGAAATGAACATTTGGTAAAATTTATTTCAGCTTCCCCATGAGACAAAAGTCAGCGTTCCAATTACATCAAACTGCAAACAGCTTGTCACCAAACAAAAGAACCTCATTTTACAAATGACTGTGACTGTGATCCAAAAATACAACAGGTATCTTTATACTGACTCACCACTTATCTGTGATAATTTTCAACCCCACAAATATGATACAATTTGATTCTCATCATTTGTTGCTTTTTGGAGGACTCAGAATGCAGTAATTAAATCAGCAAAAGGAGAAATAGGAGTGAACAGAAAAATGAGTTGCAGTAACTCAAATTCCCACAAAAATAATTAAGAATACTTTTTGCTGCAGATTTTAAAAGTGAAGTTATTTTGCTGGATGTGAAGGGAGGCACTGCACAAGGGAACGTTAGTCATTTTTTCCGGGTAGTGCAGCTTCAGCCTTCACAGCTGCTTTTACTAGAACTGTGTAAACAGGCATTGGTGGCAAAAATTAAAGTAAAATGAGTCAGAAGGAAAGAGAATAAAATAGGTTTTTCCCACTTGACTCAGATTCCTGGAATGACCCTTTGTTTACAGTATTGACACCTACAATGGAAATACTTTCTTTTAATCCTCCTCACCTTACACAACCCTTTGCCTGGACTTTCATATGCTTGAACCACTAATCTTTTCCTTGTTGCCTACCTAATCATTCCCTCAACACCTCACAGATTAAAGTTGCCACCTCCGCCTTCGCACAGCCTTAACCTCCACTGTCTCTCCCACATCAGTGTGCCCTCCAACCTGCCCGTCTGTCTGCCCTCTCTTCTAATCCCCATCCTTATTTACATCTGTGGCACTGTTTTAAAGTTACCATCTGATTACACTGATTGTCTCCTCAGACCCTGCTGGATAAATTTCTAGCTCTTTCTTTTGGGTAACAAACCTCCTTAGGAGCTCAGTCCAGCCACCTACTCTGTCTAGTCCTCTTCCAATTTGCAGTGCTGAGAAAGATTTTGCAGCCTAGAAATACTTTGCAAGCCAGACATTCTTTGAGGGCAAAAACCTTGGTTTATTTATTTGTTTCTTTGCAATACTAATCATTAGTAATGACTGCCTATTTTTACATTCCTACTTCCCTCCTCCCCCAACACATGTGAATTTTCTGTTCTTATTTCTTTGCTTTACCTGGTAGATTTTTTTCCCTCAAAACTTTAATAATGTCTCCTTTGTGGTAAAATTGGCTGAAACACCCCTTTAAAAATTAATCAAACTTGTCTGTTGTCAAAATTTATTTTAGCAGAGTTTACACTGCAAGGAATGGTGAGAGGCAGAGACCAGCTGAGACTCCCAGGCTTGTATAAAGGCAGTATGGCCTGGAACCTATAGTGCATAGGTGTGTGCAGGCAGCCAGAGGGAGAGGGCAAAGAGGCTGTCTGTAGGGAACAAAAAGAAGCAGGGCTTTTAACATAAGGATTGAAAGAATGCAAGAGATACTAGAAAGGAAGATGTTAATGAACATCTGTGGTCAAAATTCTCTGGCTGTCTTGCTCCTCAGCTGGCAAAATTTTTGAGGCATCTAGTGTAAATTTTTGGGTGGCTCCAGACACCTAGGGACCTGCAAGATTCCTCACCCTATCTTATCTCCATTATGACATCCTGTGTTTGAGTCCCGCTGGAAACAATGCCTCTGATGGCAAACAGGATATGTTGTGAATATCCAACGCGAGGTGCACGACTATATTGTAACTACTGTTTCTGTGGCTTTCTCATCTTGTAAGAATGAGCTTCCTAAAGGCAAAGAGTATGTCTTGAAATCTTTACACCTCCTATTGTCTCCCCACTGTAAGAAACTGAAAGAGTGAATATAATTGGTACAATAGATACTGTGAAAGAGAAAGAAATAGCTGAAAAGGAAAGAACAACTGGGATGCAGGAAAGGAGAAAAGAAGGAAGGGAAAAGAAAAAAAATTATATATATATATATATTATATATATATATTACATATATACATATATACACACACATGCACACACACAATAGCTAAAATAATTATACTAATTATCTATTAGTTCATTGAAAGGAACAGTTAGTCCTGGTATTGTTTGATCAGTTTTGCATGCCTGTACCTGGTAATCTGAACAACCATACTAAAGAAAACAATATGCAGTGTATATTGTTCTGTTTTTAGTTTCCTATTGTCTTGTTTTGAAAGTCTGTATTTTTAAAATCCTTTTAATTTAAAAAATGTAAATAAACTACTAAAAGAGAAAAAAATCTTCAGGCCTCTTAGGACCTAAAATATTTTTTCAAACATTGTTTTAATTTGATGGTTACTGTTTTAATGGTATTCCATTACTTTCTTTTTTGAAAGTTTATAACACATATTTATTAAATAAAATCTAAAGTATATAAACTTTATGAAATATCTCATGTTTTGTAAAATATCACAAGGCTTATAAAATATCATAAGTCTGAATCATATTCAGGGAGTTCAGAAAATTAAATAAATGGCAACTTAAAAGTTGAAGAAAGATAATCAAATGCTGTAAGATGTTTTAAGTAGAGGAGATGGTATACCAGTGGCAACAGGTTAGAGTTGAGTGGAGATGAGAGGAATTTTGAATACTGGAGTTTTACCAAATAGCATTCACCAGTTGGTTTTCCCTGGAAGGTGTTAATAAATTGTAAAGAACTATAGTTTTTGTCTTCAAAGGTAGTATTGCTATTTAAAAAGTCATTGAAGTTATTTTATAAAGTATTCACATTAAAATTTTTTCTTTGTAACCAAGTAAAACTGATGATAATATTATGCATTCTTGTTGCTATGAATT